AGCATCTTTACAGCTGTAAAAGAAATAATTTTAGGTTAGTTCCACTATCACATAGTATGTTTTTGGAAGATCGGCCTCCATCTCAGTCACTACTCATTAGTGTATTATTTTTTGCCGTACGGTGGTGGGGATAACATTTTAACCAGCTGACCTTTTTTGGTGTCTAGTACGCGCTCCAGTATTCTTCTCTATCTTGATGTCTACTACATACGTAATACGATATCAATTTTCTCGCCATCGTAATTATAATAGATTTGGGTTTTCATAGGTAGTCGGTATTTATAACATAACAAACCTGAAATTGTTTGTTGAACTTCGTACCTAACGGCTAACATTACTTTAGAACAAATTACAAAATTATAAATTTATAATCCAAAATATTATATACCTACAATCTGTATAGTGTTAGTGCAGGGTTCGGCAACCTGCAGCTCTTTGGATCTTAAGTCGCAACTCTCCAGTACCCATAAAAAAATTAATATATTATGTTCAAAAACAATATTTTATAATATTATAATATAATTTATATTGTATTAGTTTTGGTGCTTTTGAAAATATGAAATAATACATAACAATAATTTGATACTTAAAACAACAACTTATGAGCCAGACTTAACAAAACTTTCAAAAGACATGTAAAGCCAATATTCCCATTGATGTAACTCTTTATAAATATTGATCTTAATATATCGCTCTTGATGAAACCGATTAATTAATAACTGTGAAATTGTATTATTATAGCAATTAAAATTTAAAAATAAAATTATTTTAAAAATATTATGACAATTTTTAGTGGCTATTTAAAGTCAGAAAATTTTTGTACATTGTAACTTTTGGCTCTTCCGTCAAAAAAGGTTGCCGACCACTGTGTTAGTGTATTAGTGTTGGCCAACAATATATTGTTAATAATCGATATCATATTTATTTAAATTTTTATACAATAATTACAAGTTACATTTTATATCATTTAGTTTATTAAAAGCATAATATTAAAAGTATATAATACATTATATTAATATATAAATATATTATGACTGTAAATTAATTATCATTTATAAATTATTTTGTACTAACTGAAAAGTATTCATTGAGTATTTATTTTAAATAAATAAATAATTTATTAATAATAAATTTCATTTAAAATAATTACAAGCAGGGGCGTCATTTCAGGTTTTTTTCGGGTGTGCGAAGTTTCAAGCAGGCCATTTTGAAATATCACCAGGCCATATAAAAACAGATATAGATACCTACATACGTATATGTATATTATCCTGCATTCAATTATTTCCATAGACCGGTTATTACTATTTGATTTTAATCATATAAATAATTGTGCATTCGTGGCTCGTGCATTATTTTAGGCTTCAGCAAGGCGCAGGCCAATTGTAACATTCTAAAAGTAAGGGGTGCAACCGCACACCCTGCCAACCCCCAAATGACGCCCCTGATTACGAGGTCTCGCCGCAAGTTAACAACCGGCACTGAATTTAGAGTAAATTGTTTAGTGTGGTGAACTATTTCTTTGAAATAAATGGCAATTTGTTATAATTTATTATCTAGTTATCCGTCAACTTCATTGTTCAGAGCCGATACCGCGATATTTTCGATAATTATTTTTAGATATCGATATCGAAATTATTCGGAAAATACCCAGGATATCGATGATACCGTATCGAATTATTGATATCGTTGGCCAACACTATAGTGTATACTGTAAAGTGTAAGGAGATTATTTTTATATATTATCATAATTTTTAATAAATATTTAGGTACAAAAACTGCCGCTATTGTAAATTTGCCACCTTGCCCCTTTCCATCCCCCCCTAAATGCGCCCTTGAGCATATACAGTGGCAAAAGTAATATGAAATATTTACTATTTTTTGCACATAACTTAATTACTAATCATCAATCCCAATGAAAATTATAATAGCAGTTAAGCATTTTCTCAATCAATTGATACCCTTTTCTAACGATTTGGTCCATTCATTTGATCCTTTTATAAAGAATACCAAAATTTTAACACATATTAAACGGAAACGTTTAGATTTCTGTTAATATAGGTACACGCTCATGTCGTAAAGCCTTTTTTTTTTACTTAGCTCACAACATTATCGTGTCGCTAAATACTAACCTAATCTTATATAAAATTTTATTTTTGTCAATATTATTACGAGAAAAAAATACAAAATATGTATACTTAACCTACTAATGCAATAAAATATTACAATTTTTAGTACCTAATTGATTAACATAATATGTTAGATTTGAATATAATTTTGAAATATACTTTAAAAGTATTGTTTCGATACTTAAAAATCATTCAGATTTGTTTATTACATTCGAGACATTATAAATAAAGTTATTTTATTATTCCGATTATTCTATAGGTTAGGTGTTAATGTCTTAGGTATTACATTTTATAGCATATTTACAGCAATTAGGTATATAACTTTATATGCTTATTCATTTTCATGATTAAGTTTGCAATACCTATCGTTAAATATATTTTTATTAGAAGCTGATGTTGGATGAAAAAAAATAGTTGTTATTAAATACTGTATAATTTTATTGAAACATATTCATTCACAAAAATATTAAAAATGATAGTAACCTATCAATGAAAAAAAAATATTCCAAATTGTACTTATTTATGCTAGGTATCACAAACAATGAATAATACGAAATAACAGTAATTTTGTTTATTATTTTTTACTTGTAACAAAAAGTATGTTAATACATTTTAAAGGTTTTAAGATTATTTCATATATTTTATGTGTTAACAATCATACATGTAACACTTTCAATTCTTAAAATTGGGTTATAAACTTATAAACATCAATATGGTCAATAATAATATAATCAAACATTACAACACCAATTTATATTTCATTTATAAACAAATATAATTTAAAAAATAAAAATAATTATTATAATAACAATAATAAGGCTTAAGATATGAGTGGTGAAAAAATGTCACAGCATTAGTAAAATGGAAAATTACTGGTAACATGCTCAAGTTCTGCTGAAAATTGACTAATACCAAAACTCATTGTTGACATTTCTTGTGTCACCCTTTATAGAGGACAATATAAATTATATTTTCAACAATGATCCATATTACTAGCATTATCCCATATCATAAAAGCCCTAGTACCCTACTACAGATTATGTAAGAGTTGACATTCTTTTTTTGTGATTAATGAATTTATCAACATAACATAATTTATATAACATACAAATATAAATTGATTACGTAGAAAGCAATTTAGTCAAAATTACCACTTTTTTTAAATAAACCTAACCTTATTACATCCATTGTCTCATATATTATTCAAAACAAATTATATAATAACGACTAGAGAAATAATTTACATTTCAAACAATGTCCTAGAATAAAAAAAAAACAAGGATAAATTCAATGTTTGATCAATGTAACAAACTTCCCTCAATAAGTATCTTATCTAACATAACACTGTATAGCGTACAAAATGTATTAAAGAAACATCTTAATCTGCCCCCTTTGGAATCACTAAGATAAATGAACACGTTAACTACATCCAAAACTTTACTTTTGAGGCCAAGAGCAACAATATTGGTTAAGGTATGTAGTTAATTAAATATAATTGTAAAATATAAATGTTTAGCTATTTTTTTACCATTGCATTAAGAATTTATGTTTAAATTAAATTATAGGTTATTGACTTATTTGTTGAAGCTAGTTACTCGTATGTTAACAATCATAAAAAAAAAAAAATAGACAATATTTAATTTCAATATCAATTTTTATGGCACCATAATAATTCTACATGTATATTATACAAGTATAGTATAATAAAATATTAAAGTATAAACAAAAACAAAATACTATTCTAATTATTTCAAATAATAAAAATATATATATATATATATATATTAAATATAATATGCACCTAAAAATAAAATAAATATAAAAATAAAATATAATGTTATCATAAAACAATGAACATTTAAAGAAATACAAATTACAATAGGTGAGTTTTAAAAAATAAAAATAAAAACAATTTTTTTTCAAAGTACAAAAGATAATCTTTTAAGGTAACACATTTTTTGAATGTATATATGTGTAAGTATGTATGTGCCTATATGTGTAACAAACACTGATACGTTTCTCTCACTTTTCGTCAAAAACGATTGGACCAACAAAAGCCGTCGTTGACAAGACTTATATAAAATCTCACAGTAAAAAAAAACCCCGTATAATTTAAATTCATATAATTAGTGCTTGTGTATACTACTACTATAGTACTAATACCGCTGACTGAACACAATTAATTGAGCGCTATTTAACTTAATGTACAACATTTGAGACCCTCCACCAAATATCAATTTCTATACATAACAAAATATGATGTACTTGCTCATAAGAACAAAGGTAGGTGATAATTATTATATTGGCATATACGCACACATATACAGTATATATACATATATATATGTGTGTATGTGTGCGTATACACCACTTTATATTTTGAAAGCTATTAAGTATTTATTAACCATATAATATAATAACTACAATTATGATTAAATTGCATATTATAGTGCTCTGATAGGACGTTAAGATATTAATGAAAATAAATTTTAAAAAAACACTGACACTGTTCAATCAATTCGGGCGTGTTTCAAAATTAATTTCGTCATGGTTTATTCAACATTTTTATCATAACCGATTGCTATAATTATTCAACAACACTAATCGAACGCGCGGGCATTTGTCAAACATAATATTATAATACATCGATAGACGGCTGTTAACTACCTACTCACTAACCTACGTATATATTTAAAAATGATTGAGCATTTTTCACATAATTCATGTGTGTTAGGCGTGCATATCTAATTGTTTATTTATTCACCAGCCTATATTATTATAATTAACTATAATAAATAATAATATTTTTATGTACACTTAGGRCGGTGGCGGTATATTTTTATAAAAAATAATAATAAAATAATATCTACAACAGAAGAGTCGGTATCATAAGTATATTATAATACTATGTGGTCACTTAGATGTTGGAATTTAATATTTTTAATCTCCTGAACTCGGAAACCGTAAATGATTACAATGTCAAGTCTGTTTTTTTAACCGTTTGGGTTTATAGAATTACTTGGATAGTATAATTAATAATTGTTATAATAATCACATCAAAATGTACAATGTATTATGTATAACTATAGCTAACAGAAATGTTTTTATTGATTTTAATTTCATATAAAAACATAATTATTATAAATAGGGCGTCATAACTGCAACTAAGTTTATAATTGAGCAGTGGAAGTACCGCAACCGGCATCCACCGACACGGTCGGTTGTTGGATAACGGCGACGGGTTTTCCGAAGTCTATTCGTCCACCACCCATGTGCAAGAGTCGTTTTTTCTCGGCTTCCGCGGTCACCATATCTAACATGACGTACGCCGTGCTCGAAGCGAGAAGCGTCGTCGTAGGTGGTATTTGTTGTGACGGCGGCGTGGGTGGTGGTGATTGCAGCCGTTTTGGTTGTTGCTGGTGCGGCGGTGTTGATGGAAGCGGCGGTAGTGGTAGCTGTTGTTGTTGGCTGACTGTGGTTCCAACGCCGTTGACTCTGCCAAGATCGTTGGGAACACCAGCGACCGTGGCCGATGCGATCATCATTTGTTTGCCACAATAGCCGTCGTTTCGATTTTTTTGTGGCAGTCGTTGGGATTGTTGTTTATCATCGACACAATAAGGAAGCAGTTCACCCTCCTGTTAATAATTCGAAATTATTAAGAAAAATAAAACTATTTTTTTAAGATTAGAACCCATAAGATATTATGTTCTAATGAGCAAAGCAACTAAGGATTTGCTGTCAAATTACYCACACTCTCTGCCACCGAATTTTTAAAGAATAAAATGTGGTTTAATTACATTTGACGAATATAAATCCTTGGAGACTACATGAAGGCTTGTGGCATACCTACCTAATCCTCATTTATGTACAACTTGAACGATATTATGTACTATAATAGGTCCTCTTCGTATAGGCTTGTTATGAACCCCTGGTTATATTAGTTAGTATATATTATATTATAATAGTAGATAATAATATTGTAAGRCGGYRACTGTCYRGAAGGATGGCWKCGTCAGCAATTCCAGGCAAGCGCTGGCTRTAGTCACGGCTCGTATAGCAAGCCGTGGCAGTTGGTTTCTAGAGTAGTAAGACAGAACATTGTTATTCTCACCAGAACCTTATTAATTGTCAGACCATTTTATTCATAATATTAATTCAGTTATTGTAATTGTAAGTTTTCTTTTCGAGTTTTAAATATAGAAAGTAATATTTATAGTTCGGAAGTGTTCGTTATTTTATTTGTGCACAAACCTCCTTGGAGGTTCGTAACATTTTTGGTGGCAGCGGTGGGATACGCCGATTACCAGTATCTCGTTACTACAGACAATAATCGGACTAGACTTTCAGAAGTATATTGGAAGAAAAGTAAAACGGACATACATTAAATTTCGACCCAGCTGAAAACAGAACATTGTACACAAATCACGTAAGGGAACATTAATAATATAAGATATTATAATGTTATAATATGATATACGCAGACGTACATTTATATATATATATATATCTGGTGTATGCATATACATGTATACTGTAGCGTGTGAACGTGTCTCTATAAACGCGTGATCAGCAAATTCCCGGTGTGGTGTAATACACACATACATCGTCGACTCTATAAAAAAAAAACATATTTTGACGACAGGCCGCCGCCACCGTCGACGTGTGAAATCTGACAACAGCATAGCTATTACGATAAAACATTATCATAGCCGTCGTTGTTTATAAACACGATAACGCTGCCGTAACGAATTTATATCAAAACATTACGATATAGTACGTTATTTGATCATCGAAACGAAACCCAATAATTAAAATTAGTTATTCGTCCTCGCGCCAGCAGTTTCGGGGCGTAGACCGTCATTCCGAAGCAATAAAGGTGTCGAAGAGGAATTTCGACGTGTTATTGTTCCGAGATCAAACCAACGTCGTATACCAGAGTATCCAGAGTCATTCAAACAACCATACACAGACAACCACCTAACATTTTATTTCATCATGCTACAACAATATTGTGGTAGTTGTGAGTATTTAGCATTAAGTTTTCGGTTCTGTTTGCATAATTAAATATTTTCATTATTTTTTTTTCTTTCTTCCGAACATATGATAATTAGTATATACTGTACATTAACGTAATCTTAGGGTAGAAAAAAAATCTTTCATTGTGAACGCATGTTTCTCAGTGTTTTATTATTTTTTTTTTAAAGAGAATAAACCCTTCAAAAAACTCATAAACACACATTAATGAGTAAAAATTTGGGGAAGGGTCAAACTACCAATGGGGGCTGACACATCCAGTACTGATACCCCTACCCCTACACCTAGAGTAAGTTTGCCTGTAATGTGCTCCAATCCCGACAATCCAAATTCTGAGAGACAAGTAGACGAGCTTTCCGTCGACCATTTATTAACCAGAGAAGCGGATTTTACCATAGCAACTGATAGTCTTTTAGCCAAAGTCAGCGAAGGACTTAATGAAATCGACAAAAGTCTAATTCACGTCACCCAAGAAACCATTTTAACAGAAAATTCCCAAAACCTACCAAATACCGGATTAAAAGTTCTACAGAATAAGCAAGAAAAACTTTTAGATTGGTCTTCTGACGACGCAGTTGAACCAACGAACCTAGGAATCAAGTTTCTTTTAAATCAAAAGTCATTGAAAATAATGGAGGGTCAAAATCAATCAACATCGAGTGGTGAACCTGGACAGCAGCTGACGATAGACAATTCGAATACTCCAGAATTAAGTAAATTAATTGATCTCAAGATTCAGGAGATCATGAGGACAAGAGGTAGTGCCAGTTCGAGACAAGAAGATTCGATATCAAATAATCAAATAGGACTTCAAGATGCAATAAGGCTACTACCCAAATCATTTGATGGAAAAGATACAGAGAATTTAGAGATTTTCCATGAAAAATGCGAATTTGTCGTGTCATGTGTGGTGGAACCAGCAATTCCACGTCTACTTCAGGCAATCCAAACCAGGTTAACAGGAAAAGCTAGGCAGGTAACAAAGTTTAAAACCTTCGATGCATAGGAAGAGTTACGGGAAACACTTAAAACTAGTTTAGAACCCCAGCGAACAACGCAACATTTATTTTTAGAATTATACGCCATCAAATAAAAACAAGGTGAAGGTATCCTGACCTACTCGATGAGAGTAGAAGCTTTACAGAACCTTATCATTGAACAGGAGACTGCCGAATATTCGCCAGAAGTTGCCCAGGCGATGGAAATTTCTATTAAGAGACAGGTTATTCAAGTCTTTATGGAAGGATTGGGAAACCTAAAGGACTACATTAAGGCCAGAAATCCTCTTACTCTAGACAAGGCCATACAAACCGCCAGAGAGGAGGAGCGGATTAGGTTGTCATCTGAAGAATCGAGGAAACTTTATAAAGGCAATTCGGCAACCACAAAAATGATAAATGGTACATGTAACATTTGCCATAAACCAGGACATTGGGCTCGAGATTGTAGATCCAACCGAGGTAACAATACAAATCAACCAACAAATTCGAACACGCCACAAGGAACCTCCAGAGCCTCAGTGCGCACTATCACGTGCCAGTACTGTAGGAAGCCAGGACACACGAAAGATGTATGTCAGAAATTAAAATATGTTACTGGAAAAAGGAATGAAGCAGTACAACCCGAGACTTCAGAAAACCAAAATCAACCGGGCGCTTCCAGCGGACGTCCGGTAGGGAACATAAAAAACGCCGCGATATCATTCCAGAATCTTCACATTAAAGGCAAATTTAACAGATAATACTTTTATATGCAGAACCTCCCAGACAATTAATCCCAATGCTAAATTTCTACTGGATTCAGGAAGTGACCTCAATCTAATTAAAATTTGTTCACTTTTGAATCAGGTAATGGTATATGAAGATACCGTTTACCATTTAATGGGCATCAACGAACAGTTAGTTCCAACATTAGGGCGGACGACTATAAGTATTCAGATTGGAGCGCGTATGATGCAAGCAGAATTTCAAGTAGTACATTCTGTTTCCCATTACACAAGATGGAATTTTAGGGAAACCTATTATAATAGGGAATCATATGATTATTTATTATCAAACCAACGAATTAATAGTACCAGATACCAGTGACATAAAAATTCAAGCTCGTACAGAAACTCTAATCGCTATACCTACTACAGAATATCAAGAAGGTGAAACACTCTTAATCCCAGCTCAAAAGATTGCTGAGTCTATCATATTATGTAGCAATACGGTTAATCAAGTGCACCAGAATCAGATACTAGTATCGGTTATTAATCCCACAGAATCTTCCATGGTACTCACTCAACTGCAATCGAAATTAATCTCTATTTACAAGTTTGATGAAGTAAATGTTTTTACAACTCAGAACGTCCCAGAAACTTCCAATGGAGAAAACCGTTTAAATGCTCTAAGAGAGAAAGTAAATTTGGATCATCTAAACCAAGAAGAAAGRGAATCTCTTATGCCAATATGTGAACAATACTCCGATATTTTACATTTAGATTGAGACAAACTAACTTGTAATAACCAAATTTATCATGAGATTAAAACAAGTGAAGCCGCACAACCGATTAATGTACGTCCATATCGGTTGCCTTTCAAGCACAGACAAGAACTTGATAGACAAATTCAGAAACTTGAAGAGGACAATATTATTGCTCCAAGCAAAAGCCCTTGGAATGCGCCACTACTCGTAGTCCTAAAGAAGCCTGATGAAAACGGTGTCATGAAGTATCGCGTATGTGTGGATTTCAGAAAGTTAAACGATGTTTCGACTGGAGACACTTATCCTTTACCAAACGTTACAGAAATCCTGGACCAATTGGGAAAATCCAAGTACTACACTACTTTGGATTTGGCTCAGGGTTACCACCAAGTCAGAATGCACCCAGACCGTTGCCGAAAAACTGCTTTTTCTACAGACAAAGGTCATTTTGAATTTTTAAGAGTTCCATTCGGGTTAAAAGGAGCTCCAGCAACATTTCAACGTTTAATGAATTCCGTATTAACGGGATTAAATGGGATCAAAGCATTTGTATATTTGGACGACATTATAATTTATGTCCACAACATGGAGGATCATTCAAGAAAATTAAAGGAAGTATTCGACAGATTAAGAGAATCAAACCTCAAACTCCAGCCGTCAAAGTGTTCATTCATGCGTAAAGAAGTGAACTATTTAGGACATGTCATAACCGATAAAGGAGTAAGGCCTTACCCACAGAAAATTGATTGCGTAGTAAAATTTCCAATACCAATAAATACTAAGGAGATCAAATCATTTTTGGGACTGTCCGGTTATTACCGCCGTTTTGTTCCAAATTATGGGCATATTTCGAAACCTCTCACGTCGTTATTAATAAAAGATATCCCATTTTATTGGTCGGACCTTTGCCAAGAAGCGTTTGACAAATTAAAAGCTATTCTTACAAAAGAACCTCTCCTAAAATACCCTGATTTTGAACAACTGTTCAATCTTACATGTGACGCAAGTAATTTTGCAATTGGTTGCATATTGTCTCAAGGACCAATCGGGAAAGATTTACCAATAGCTTACGCGTCGCGTACGCTGAACAAAAAGTAGAGCAAAATTATAATACAACGGAGAAGGAACTTTGCGC